CCTCACCCTCCTTTTTTTCTTTTTCTTTTTCTTTGGGGGGTGTGCTTATTCCGGTTGAAAAAAAAAGGAAACAAAAAGCAACAACGAAACATCAACATAGAGGATTATAGTGAGCACTGACCTGAACACAGTGGTCCATGTCCACGAAGAAGTGGCCGTGTACAAACAGGCAGTGTTCATGTGACACCATCACGCATGCACCGGTCAAACCAGCACAGCAAGGTTTGATGACGTGGGCCACACTGTTCCTGCCCGAGCGACGCTTGCTACATATCGTGCCGCTCACCCAGTTGCCCAGACCTTACCCATTCACAGTCAGATTTAACACGGTATTACTATTACGACTTTTTTATTTGTTTGCTCAAAAACTTCCCCAATGCTGGTAACGATATCAAAAACTAAAGGAGTACTGTCGCTGTGACAGTCGAGACTACAACATTCACATTTTGAGTGTGTACAAATTACGTTCATACTATTTTACTTTAACTGGTATAGAAAACGCTACTGGTTAACTTTTCAACAGAGGATCCTTGTGTTTTCAGCCTGGGCTCAATAGAGCTCTGGTCATGAACCTTCAGTTAAAAAATGTTGCCCACCCCCTTCCACATTGAAATACTTCTCTCTCTTTCTCTCTCTCTCTCTCTCTCTCTCTCTCTCTCTCTCTCTCTCTCTCTCTCTCTCTCTCTCTCTCTCTCTCTCTCTCTCTCTCTCTTTCGACACATGCACTCGCATTCACTAATCTGCCTACCCATGGTCATCTTCCTGCACTCATCCTCAGCTGTAGTTCCAGCAGTGTTGAAATAGCTCCCCATCTCGCAGCAGCCGAATCTGTCTCCAGGGACAGCTAGATCTAGCTGGCTGTACACATTTGAGGCTGCAAGCTCTTCCAGAAACTCGCTCGGTCTGATGCACGTCGATAATGCAGCCCCTGCATCTGTAAAGTACAATGTATCGGAATCTCAGTACTTGCTGACGTTTTCCATCCACGACCAAGAATGGGTGGGCGGGTTCTGACTATCTCAGCATGCCGTTTTCATTTTCAGGTTTTCAGACATTGCTTTTAAAACCAAATGTGCACGGGTGATATCACTTGTAAAAAATTTTGAAACATTCTACTAATGTTTTTGTAGGATTTTTTAATTTTTTATTTTTTTTTTTTTTTTTTTGGGGGGGGGCACATTTTTATATCATTATATCACAAAAACTACTCCCATTACTATTACGTAGAACCTCTAGAGGAAAATATTAAATTCAAGTACAATGGCAGCATTATCTCCAAAACTGCAGACTGCATTGAAGACGTCCATCAAATAATTAAATATGGATGGATCACTTTTGCGAAATTGAAAATTATCTGGAATCCAAAGACCATTTCACTGAAGACGAGGTTTAAATTAAAACTATATGATAGCAATGTTCTGGCGGTATTGATGCGTGGTTCAGAGATATGGAAAACAATCAAAGCAATTCAACGAAAATTTAGAAGTTTCCAAACAAAATGTTTACGAAAAATTTATTTCAAAAACTGAATAAATCTATTACAAATAAAATTCAATGATGTGTTTGAAAGAGCGGAAATTGAAGATATTAACACGACCATAACAAGGAGAGGATGGGGATATTTAAGACACGTTTTGAGATTGCCGGAGATAAGATCCTTATCATCAGACATGGCACTGAAGACCAAATGGAAGTTACAGTAACACAATCAGGGATGAGGCAATCACACAGGGCCTAGATGTGCCAGGACTGGAGGGGGTGGCCAGGGACAGGCAATCGAGACATTGACTACTCTGTGCCCTAAGTACCTGACGGTAAGGAGAGAGTAAGCAAGAAGGTAGATCTACTAAGTATTTTTTATCACACGATGACGCGACCTCAGGGCTTTCTTGTCGTATCTCCAGTTTTTTAACAGTAAAAATGTGACTTCCTCTTAAACTCACTCTTTGTCATGGACTTTTTCACTGTTATTAAAAATAGAGATACGACAAGAAAGCACTGAGGTCGCGATAAGTTGAAGTGTTTTTTAAGAATTTTTCTCAGAAAATGACCGTCCTCCGTAATCGGCACAGGATGTAGAAGATGCAATTGAAGCAGTGATTTAAATATTAGCATACGTTTGGGGGGAGGAGGGAAGGACTACTATATCACAGGGTGTACCAACTGATTAGACACTAATTAACATCAGTATCAAATCGACACCCGTGATTTTCACCTCTATCATAACTACCATCATCATTGCCACTCCCACAAACACTAACACAAGCACCAAGAAACAGCAATAACGGGGAAAAAATCGGAGGCAACTAATGCAAACGGAATTAAAATAACACAAGTAAAAGCTATCGTGACATGGTAGTCATATAATGATTATAACAACAGCAAAACAAAACAAAACAAAAATAAGTGGCTGCAACAACAACAAAATGTAACATAATATCAACAACAGAAGGCACGGCAACGGCCAAAAATAACAACACATTAGTGCACTAAAACCACAAGAGCCTTTTTTTTTTTTAAAGAGAGAACAAAATGAGCCATTAAACAGGAACAAAATCAACAGCAAGAAAAACATAAGCGATTACAACAGGAAGGACAAGAAAAGCAGAAACCATAATGGGCGATCACCTAGAAAGGCCTGTACTGGCGGTCCCACCCAAGGGTTGGGCTCCTGCAGAAAGACAAACGTCTCCGTTCCCAGGAATGTAGGGATGTCCGAGTTGACCGCTCTGCGGGTGTTCACGCCAAGGGGAGCCAGCCCGTAGCGGTACCATAGCAGGGAGAGGGTGATCAACTGTACCTGAAAGGAAATGCTTGACATAAAGTACGGTACAGTAAGTGTATCCCTGCCAATTCAGAAGGCTCTAAACGTGTTCTGAAAGAAAATCGGAAAAGAACTTGGAAGAGAGAGGGG